AAAAAAAAAAAAGGAAGGAAGGACAGAAGGACGGAAGGAAGGAAGGAAGGAAAATCAGCATACTATAGTGACGCAGCCACATCAATGTTTATAGCAGCTCAATTCATAATAGCTAGACTATAGAACCAACCTTGGAGTCCCTCAACAGATGAATGGATAAAGAATATATACTCAATGGAATATTACTCAGCTTTAACAAAGAGTGAAATTGTGGAATTTGCCAGTAAGTGGGTGGAGTTGGAGAATATTATGCTAAGAGAAATAAGCCAATCTCACAAAATGTTTTCTCTAATATTCGGATGCTAATTCACAATAAGGCCGGAGGCATTAGGGAAGAATAGCATTACCTTAGATTAGTAGAGGGAAGTGATGAGAGGGAGTGGGGGGATGTGAGGATAGGAAAGATAGTAGAATGAAACATACATTATTATTGTATGTATATATGTGACTCCATGACCAATGATTCTGCAACATGTACACTCAGAAAAATGAAATTATATCCCATCTATGTATGATATATCAAAGTGCATAAATGCATTCTACTGTCATGTATAACTAATTAAAACAAACAAAAAAATTTTAAAAAAATATTTTGAGTTAACTAGAAATACAATTTATTCTATGGATTGTTATTTTCACATATGCAGCTTATGAATATAGTTTTTACAAAATAACCTTGAAATATTAATTGATGCACCATCAACATTGTATTTGTCATCTTTCTATGTGTGGAATGGGAGATTATACCCAGGCCTGCATGCATGCTAGGTGAGTGTTCTACCACTTAGCTACTTACCCAGCCATCTTAAGAAGGTTCTTCAAACTTTAATCATCCTTTAATGACTAAAAAACAGTAGTAAGATAATATTTCAAAGATAATATTTACAATTAGAATTGAAGTTATCCTCCATTGAACCAAATTACCTTAAACTTACCAGGTAACCCAGCATCTACAGAAAGAGTATTTCCTTAATTAAAAATAGTTTGATCTTCAGAGAAGTATCAGTTGAGCTGTTGACAATACCTAATATACTAACAATAGGGACAATTTCTAAGGTGATAAAAAAAAAATGCGAAAAATAAATATAAAAATCACATAAAAATAAAGAAAATTTGGGTTGATGTCATGGCTCAGTGCCTAATATGCATGAAGGCCTGGGTTCAATTCTCAGCACCAAATAAATAAATAAATAAATAAGACATTGTGTTCATGTACATCTAAAAACATCTTTAAAAAAAAATACAGAAAGAATTAACATCAGAAAACTATTAAGGGGAAAAACAAAAACCACCACTTGACTTCAGACAAGTAGAGTTTAAAAATGATTAACATAAATGTACCCAAATTTTTTTAAAATTTTGCTTAATGTACATACATATATTTTAAAGAATTTAATACTGAAAATAATCTTTAGTAGAACTATTTGTAATCTATTATACAATAAACCAATATTTCAAAATATTAGTTTAAAATTATATAATCCTAGTGACTTTTATTACTTCCTTTTGCTCTCAAAATTGTCTGGGTTTAGAGGATAAAATACATTAAATTACATTTCACACTAATGAGAGAGACCCAAAGACTGATCAATTGATTCGACCTACTTTCACTACCCCATAAATACTTATTCTTTCTCGTTCTCATCTGATGACCTATTAAAGTGAGTATTACATGAGAAATTAAACAAGGATGCCAGAATATTTTGAGATTTAGCTATAAACCATCCCCAGGCAAGAACAAGTTGAAAATTTCCCCAGTCCTATCTCCAACAGGGACATTTGGGGATCATGGTGCAACTCTTTCTTTGCCTTATAAAAACTGGATATAAAATTAAAATTATAGATCCAGCTTCTTAACCCCAGCAGGAAGGATCACATTTGAACAGTGTGTTCCAGGGAAAATCCTGTTTAAGGAAGAAAGCACAATTAGACATACACACAAATCAGTGGTGCAGTAAAAGAATAATATAACCTGGCTACACGACGAGGTCTCCTGGGGATCACAAAAATGGTTCAGTTTGGAAAAATGATAAGCCTTTTTTATCAAATGAGGAAATCCATATCACTCTTTATAAGAGATTTAGTTTGGGAATAATGGCTGCCTTCTCAACATGGTAAAAAAAAAAAATTCAGTACTGTATCTAAAGAAAAATACTAGAATCAGACCCTCCCTGATACCGGAGACAAGAAAGTCATCATTCCCATATTTGAGAACTGCATTTGTTAATATACTCAGAGAAAATAGACAAAGAAAGGAGGGGAGGACAGATGAAAAGAGGGAAGAAGGAAGGAATTCATGAATGATAACCTGGATTGGGGAGTAGCAAACTGTTTCTATAAAGGGTCAGTTAGTAACTATTTTGGACTTCACATGCTGCACAGTTCTTGGTACACATACTCAGCTTTGCTGTTGCAGTGTGAAAGCAGCCACAGATGATAGGTGAGCAAAGAACAAGGCTGTGCGCCATCCACCAAATCTTTATTTGTAGACAGTAAAATTTGAATTTTATACAATTTTCATGTATCACAAAATATGATTCTTCCTTTGATTTTTCCCCCCATCCATTTAAAAGTATAAAAGCCGTTGTCAGATCCTGAGCTACACAAAACAAATGAACCAGTTGTTCACTCCTGCTTTAGATCATTTTAAGTGATTAATTAAATAATATCTATTAAATATAAACAAACCTATCTAATTGCTTTTTTAATTTTTTTGCCCAAGATTGTAAAGAGTGATCAAATGATGAAAATATTTAATTTTAAAACAGCATTTTTATTTCATTCTCAGAAAAAAGGATCTGATCTCTGTAGTGGTTAATTATATTCCTGTAAACAGAGTAACCCTTAGGAATTTCAATTTGCTTTGTATCTAATCTGCAAGCCTCCCAGAACTCTCATTGAGACAATGGCGTACACAGTTTCTACATTCATTTCCCACCCACTCCCCCCCTTTTTTTTTTTTTTTTTTTGGTGCTGAACTCCAGCCAAATAATAAATTACCCTGGGAAATAAAAGGTAGGGGAGAAAGACACAAAGATGGCCTTTGGCCTCATTTTATGAGGACATTCGATCTTAATTTAGAGACGAAAGCTTTTCTACTGAGAGAAGCATGAGAACTGGAAAGATACAGAATTTCTCAGACAACCCTAGTCTGGTAAATTTGCAGGTGACAACACTCCGGTTTCTATAGGTGAGGTTGTAGGTCAGGTGTGTGGGTGTGTCTGTAAACCCACACCCCTTTTTAACCAGAAACATCTAGAGCACACTTTCAACAAGAGCACTGGCTGGTTCAGGTAAGCAAACAGTTTCCAGATGACTTAAATCAGCAGTCAATCTCTGCTATATTTAAATGATTAGTTTTTGCTCTTTGAAAGTGAGGTTTTCCATAAAGGGTGGGAAAGTGGAATTAAATTATATTTTTCTTCCGGATTTCCTATGCTGATTTCATAGTTTTAGTCTTTATTTATAGTAATGATAGTAAACTTTAATTTTAAAAAAATGACTCTTTCAAAATTATGCTAGAAGTGACAATGGTTCTTTTATTGTACATTTTAAGTTTTTGTTTTATTTTAAAACAGAAGTTTTTAACATAATATGCAAGTAAGTGGCTTAGGTTAAATTACTTTTGAAGAGTGACATCCTAGTGTCAGAAAACGCTAACTAGCCAGTTAATAAGCCTAATTTTAGATATTTGGTTATGCGTTTGCAAAGTATATAAACTACTGCAATGTCATATTCAGCTGTGCCCCAAACAGCTTAGCCTTGCAACTGATAATAAAGGACCCTAAGCAAGACATCCTTTACCAATGAAAGTAGTATTCAAAAGAAAAAATTCAAGTTGTATTGCTGTCATAGAATATAGTTAATATCTATTTTAATTTATCAAACAATATAAAATAAAAACTTAAGATTTTTACTTTGAAAGTATTATTTGGCAATAATACAAAAATACTTAAAAATAATGCAGGAGCTGGGACTGTAGCTCTGTGGCAGACAGAGCACTTGCCTAGCATGTGCGAGGCACTTGGTTTGATCCTTAGTACCACATACAAATAAAATAAAGGCATACTACAAAAAAAATTTTAAATAATAATATTTCAGTTCCCATTCAACTCTAAACGTGGTGGGTTTAAAACAGCAGATATGATAAAGTTACATGTTCTTTTTTTTATGTAGATTCCACCACTTATTTCTGTTCCTAACAGAGAACCTTTCTAATGCTTTCTCCAGATTAACTTTTCCTAGTTCTTCTTTACATCCAAGATCATAGAAGAATGTAAAGGCAATTTCAGACCCTCTTTTCAAGGAAAATGAACAGAAGTTTATAACAGTTTCCAAACAGTTTCAGGGTTTTTTTCTTTGTTTGTTTAGCCTACTGTAGTTCATCCATAGACTTTCTTGAAGCTACTAGAATCAGGTTAAGACCCTTTTCTAGCTGAGTGCAGTGGAACACACCTGTAATCCCAATGGCTCGGGAGGCTGAGGCAGGAGAATCAAGAGTTCAAAGCCAGCCTCAGCAAGGGCAAGGCGCTAAGCAACTCATGAGAACTATCTCTAAATAAAAATACAAAATAGGGCTGGGTTTGTGGCTCAGTGGTAGAGGACTTGCCTAGCATGTGTGAGGCACTGGATTTAATTCTCAGAACCACATATAAATAAATTTTTTTAAAATAATAAAAGCCCACCAACAACTAAAAAATATTTTTAAAAAAGAAAAAGAAAGAAAGAAAAAGACTCTTTCCCAAGTTGCTTCAGTTTCTCCACCGCACCTCTCAACCCGACTAAACCTGCTCTTCCCACGCTGGGATTTGGTCCCAGCATCACCTATCTCTATCCCTTACTAAAATCTCCCTTCTCTTTTGATTCAGCCTTTAAGATACAAGATGACCAGTCCCTAGGTACAAGCTGACATTCTGAAATGTTTTATGGTTTAATAAGTTATACGAACTTAAATTGAGATCCTTATCAGATACTGTGGTTACTGTTTAACAAGGGTTTTAGTGTCTGTCTACAAAGAAAGTAATAAATGGGAAGGGAAGTAATTTAAATAAAGCTAACCTTAGTGTCAAATAATATCAACTCAGAGAGGAAACAGAAAATATACATCACTACAAAGGAAAAAATGCTAGGATGAAAGGAATGAGGAAATGTCTGCAGAAACCTAGAATCTGTAAACTTCACTGCAAAGTTGCTGCTCCCCCATGCTACAATTGCTATTTAACACTGACTACAATATTACAAATGTTTTGCCAATGCTAAGTCATTGTGTCTTATTAATCTTTCAACTTTTCTTCGTAATACCTAATACAGTTAAATATAGCAACTTCTGTGTTTGAGCAGAATTTATAAACAGTCTTTTATTGTATTTTGGTCAGAGAATCTCATTATTTTGGTGGGGAACTCACTACTGAATAACACAAGTCAATGAGAAAAATGACAATGAAGTTAAGCGAATATATAAACATGAAGGATATAGGTACATTTATTTCTATTCTTTATACATACGTTTAATTCATAGCAATTGAAAATATTTGATTTTTAAAAAGAGCTGAATTTATAAACTGAGGGGCAAAAGGCTGAGTACCTGTTGACATGTGACTACAGAGACAAGACTGATCTATACTCAATTTTTCCTCTGATTTCCATTTTAAGCAATGTTTCTTGGTGCCTAATCTCATTTTGATATAGAGTTAGAGTGTTCTATTAGACTATTAGATTCAGAAGAAGCAAAAGACAAAGACCATTCCTGCATGCTAAAGTCACCTTTGCATTGCACTTTGCAGTTGAAATGTGATTAACATCATCTTAGTTGAGTCTCACTGGTAGGTTGTGTGCACTACAGGGCAATCCAGAAGCAGGATCGTCAGTCCTCATCCTGTTCTCTTTCAACTACATCTCACCATGACCAGGGTGTACAGAACCTGACTCTTTGCCACCTGTACATTTGCTAAATTAATGGAATTTTTAAAATATTTTTAAAATAAAATGTGAACAACCAACAATAAAAAATAAATAAAAATAAAAATAAAAAAAAATAAAATGTGAACCAAAGTTGTAGGTGGTTACACTGTGTGAAATTAAAGAGCAACCTGTCAGCACAGGTTCGGTCCAGCTCTTAGCCAATGTCTTTTAATCACAGCCTGAAGGAAGCCACTAGATACTGAAAATGCCTTTTGTCATCTAGCTTCTTCTGAGAGGTTCTCTGGAAGACATCATGTTACACTCAGCTTTGGCCCTGTGCCTCTTATTTATCACAGTTTCTTCCAGCCTTGCCCTTGTAATCAGAAAGGAAAAGAGACCTCCACAGACCCTGTCAAGAGGTACTGTAATCTCATTTTATTTTCTAAACTCAATCACTTGGATTGTTTTTAAAAATACCTAATATTTTCACTAGTATGAAGCAAAGAATGAACTAGATGTTTGTTGCATATGACAAACTTGAGTTAAAAAAGAAAGAAGGAACCAATTAAGATTTTAGGCAGTGAATCAAACTAACCCTCAAATAATAATAATTTTTGTATCTTTTGTAGAAATAGTGGGAAATTGATTTGATATCTATAATTTGGTAATTAGAATCCTAGAAAATTATTGATCGATATGTCATAACGACATCCTAAAAGCAATTTAAGATTCAGAATTTGCTTAGATTCCCAGTCTTCTATTTATTAAGGCAAGAAAATAATTTGGAATGATTTTATCCAAGGTTACTCAGAAAATGATACTTTATCCCAAACGCTGAGAATTTTGGTTAACCCTGTTGTTGCTATAATGACTCTGGAAATAACTGTAGTTTTAGACATCAATCTAGATTTGTCATTGGGTACTGATTTAGAAAACATTTCCAATTTTGTACTTACTATTTTTACTTTGTCCTAAGAAACTAATATATCTTCATGTAGGAAAAGAAAGTGTTCTGAAGAAAAAATTTTCAGAGTTGGTTCTTATCTTTCCAGTTAACAAAATCATTTGTCCCCATGTTTAATTCAAAACTATCGGTATAATCACAAAGCACTTGACTACTATTTGGTAATGTGAACTGGGCAAACAAATTGAGTTCAACCATAATGTAATTTCAAATTCTAAAGCACCACCTGATTTTCCAAGTCCATTCATTTCTTAACAGATGTACTGAGTACCAGCCAAGTACATCCATCATTATTTACTAAGTTCAACTTCAGTTGAACCATCATACTAACTATATCTAGAAAGGCAATACTTTTTTGTTAAAGTAGTAAAAATGGAAAATATGTTCCTAGATATAATTTATTATATAGATCTTATCAGGTTCAAGGCCATGGGCCTATTTGACTCACAGTCCTAAATCCTTCATACTATAATCTAAATGGACAGCACTCTTTGTAAGCCAGTTATAAATGTGTATCCTTAACATCACATGCTATCCAATTGCTTAGTAGCTGAGTTAAATGTCGGTAGTTAGATATCTGCTTACCAAAACCCACCCAGAGCTCTTCTGTAGTCCTTAATTAATACATTGATTTCTCCCTTCTACTTCAGGATGGGGCGATGACATCACTTGGGTACAAACTTATGAAGAAGGTCTCTTCCATGCTCAGAAAAGGTAAAATTAATTTTAATTAATTTCAGTTAATTTTCATAGATTATACAGATGCCTCATAAATGTACTCAAAACAGGCACGTAAGCTTTTGAAGGGTTGCCACACATATTTGTTCTACTCTTGTATTTGGTTTGAAAAAATAGTTGCTGTTAGAATAGATTTTTTTAATTTAAAAAAGGCTATAAATACCACTATATTAAATTCTTCATCACCTTAGCAAGCTTTTGAATATAAGTTGTATAAACAAAACAGTATTACTAATTAGGCATAATATAAGCTTAAATAGGAAATTGATTTAAGCCAACAATCCTTCAGCTTGTCTGTTTATCAAAACAATCTGGGGCCTTTTTCAAACTCATATTTATCGTTGATCAACCAATTACTCAATGGCCAAAAGTTTTTATCCTTAAAGACCTATTAAATATTTGAGAAACCTTGTATTTTTTAAATCTCCCTAAGAATTTATCAAATATCTAAAGAACATCCAATTCCAATATTCCTTCAAGACATAATATACCAAATTAAATGAGAATTGGTTAAGCATTCTCAAAACCGGCCAAATATTACAAAAATAGAGAAGTCTACAGAATATTATTTCCAAATATTAATGTAACAAACAACATATCAGTAAAGTACAGCCTTGATAAAATGAGGTTTAGTCTGAAAGTTCCAGGATGATTAAAGATTAAGAAACATATTAAATAAAATAATTTAATATGTATAAAGAGGCAAATCATACAGTATCTTTCATCTCCACAAATGCTGGAAAGGTGTTTAATAGAATACAGTATCTATATCTGAAATTTTTAAGCTGATATTTTAAAATATTAACTGATTCAAACTGAACTTAATAAGAAAAAAAATAAAAGTTAATATCATGTTTACTGGGATAACAAAGAGAAGTCCCTCATTCATGTCTGAATAAGATGTCTGCCATAGTATGCT